TGCAAAGAAGTTATACAAAAAGTTTTTAGGCAAAATACTTCTTGGTTATTATACTATTTCAAAAAAGGGCTGTTAGATGTGAAGCATGTCAAAAATACCATGAAAATCTGCCCCAGCGCCATCTAGTGGCTTAAATAGTCAAGTTGCAGGTTTAAAGGCTCGAGAAGTTGCTGTCGCCCTTTCACAAAATCTGATTTCATTCCATAAAGGGGCGCCGCGCTTCGGCGCGGACCCCAATAACTACATTGTATAAGCACAACTAAACAAGGGGCCTTAATTGCTCACATGAGTAGATGGTTCAAATGAACAAGATTGCATTATCCCTGCAGTGATTGGTGTATTAACAGAGTAAATTTGTTGAGTATTATCATCACATAATGGACAATTCCACAGAACAAAACTTTTATATGGTGACTAGAATTTCTTTTAAGTTGTACTTTTAGGTCTGTCAATAGACCAGAACCTTTTGAGCAAATCTTATAAAGGACCATCCAATAACCATTTACTTACATGACTATCAACTATAATTATGATAGGTTAACAAAGGGAGGTAATAAGGTCATAAAAGAAAATTTCTTTTTTTTTTTGATGGGCCAGATTTTGAACTAAAAAAAATATTTATTTTTTTTTGTGTCATTAAGGTTTTAGTCATATTATGTACACTCAGTAAATAATATTATTATTCTATTTAGTTTTTAATAACTTTGTTTCTATTTATTTTCTGAAAACTTTGGGGTAGGTATTTCATTGGGAGCAATATTTTGTTACAGAAACAGGACAATTTCTCAATGAATTAGAACTGTTATTATAAACTAACTAAAAATTGCTTAACGGGTTGATAAAATCAAATGAATTTCAAAGCCAAAGATGACACTGACGTGGTAATATTAAAGAACACACATACTCTCCTCTCCACAACATTAAATATGTTTTGAAGGCATTATTGATCCGCAGAAACTTCCTGTACCACGACACTTCAATAGTTTGTTGTTAAAGAATGACAAATAAAGCAAGTGTTACATCCTATTTTATAGTTAAATCAATATGATGTTTAAAATAATGTAACAAGATAACAATTTCATTAATGTATACATTTCACAAAATTGTTTGTTATAATAGAACAGTTCAGAAATAGAAAAACTGCATGTAGTTTAAAGTAATTTTCGAGAACAGTAATTTTGTTGTTGATGTATTTTTTTAAAGTAATTTTTAAATCTGCAAGATTTCAATTCGAAATTGTATAAAATGCAGCGGATAATAGAATCCCTTAAGTTATTCTGTCATGCAAAAAGTTGAGTTTTATGCAGGAAACTGCGACATTTTCTGTCTCCATTAAAGATTAAGCATTCCAAACATATGCTTACTTATGTAGCCGACTGAGGCCATTTTAATACGCGATATTTTGTTTTTATGCATACCTTGTAAGAAGTTTGAGTTTGAGCATTAAGCCGCGACTCTTTATGTCAGGAAATGTTTTTAAAAATCGCAGCTGAAAATTGCTATTACTTGTCGCAAAACTTTATGAGACAGCTGTTGATAAACAAAAAGTCACAGCCTACAATTTTTCCCTTTGACTTTTTGTAGAATTTCTAAAACACTTGCAGAAAATGCCGCTGATTTCGTTCTGTTCCTTGACTTTTTATAGAAAAAAAGAGGTCTAAACTGTAGTCAAACCATGGCACTATTGGCCACTGAAGTCAAATGTTCCTTTCTGTTTCCAACAACTTTTATAAAATATTGAGGTTTATTCAACATTTTGTATGATTTCTGCAGAAAATGTCGCAGGTTTGTAAGTTGCCTGCAACATTCTATGATAAGTTCATAACACAATAAAATTTCTCGCGGGTTTAAATTGGCCACAACCAGCCACCATAGAAGACTGTATTTGATAAACTGTATTGAGCAGTGAACCTAATGTACTCTGTAGTGAGCTCATATTAACAAGGATAAAGGCACAATTTACTTTGTATTTAAAAAAAATTTGATAATTAACAGGGAGACTAACAGTTTCATTACTTTGTATTGAGCTAAATAGAGGCTGATGAACTCTATGTTCTCTGTTTTGAGCTTAAGCCAAGGTGCTTGATTTTGAGCTAATTTGAGGCTTATCAACCAGATGTGCTCTTAGAGGCTGACCAACCGAATGTGTTCTGTTTTGAGCTACTTAAAGGCTGACCAACCCAATGTGTTATGTTTTGAGTTATCAACCCGATGTGTTTAATTTTGAGCTAATTGGAGGCTTATCAATCCTTAGTGTTCTGTTTTTTAAGCTATCTAGATAGAGGCTGATCAACAAAAGGTGCTGCATTTTGAGCTAATTTGAGGCGTATCAACCCAATGTGCTCCGTTTCAAGCTAAATGGAGACTGATCAACCCTGTGTGTTCTTTTTTAAGCTAATGAGAGGCTGGTCAACTTAATGTGCTCTGTTTTGAGCTAGAAAGAGGCTAATCAACCCAATGTGTTCTGTTTTAAGCTAATTACAGGCTGATCAACCCTGTGTGCTCTGTTTTAAGCTAATGAGAGGCTAATCAACCTAATGTGTTCTGTTTTTCACTTTTTTAAGGCCAATCAACCATATGTGCTTTGTTTTAACCTTTTTGTTATTAAGGACTTGGTCTGCTCACTGTTCTAATGTATAATTCTGTATTTTATTGAATCAGGAAGATTGAGGAACCTTTGTCACATTGTAATCAGAAGCTATTCAGGTATTTTCTTCCTCCTCTTATGTACATTGTTATTTCTTCATATCTTACCAACTCTCTATTCAAACCAAAATAACAACAATTGTTTTATCTATAAAATCTTAAAAATAGTCCCTTCTTAAAGGTTTCAAAAAAGTTTAACCAGTAAATCCTAAACCTCTGAAGTCAAGGTATCAACTTCACAGTGGGTGGAAAATTAGATTTTAACACAATCAAGAATTTCTAATTTTACTATTTTAACTTATCCAATTTTCAAAGCAGACAGATTGTTTTTGTTCTTTTAATCATTTCGTGCTGTCTGATCATGGTTTGCACGGTTTGCTATTCAGTCAGTATACGTACTTATTTTGATTTTTTTTTTATTTAAAAAAAAATGACTGGATTAATTTTTTTCAATAGATGGACAAGTCTATTTAAGAAATTTGGTGTGGTAAAGGTTAAATTTTCACGATCCAATACTTAATTAGTAAGCAGTAGTCTTACAGTAAGAGTCTGGTGAGGAATATGTTGACATAGTCTAGTCACTAGCCATTATTAACGCAACCATTCACAGTTAACATGCTTTTAATTCTATGTAATATATGTGACATTTCATGAAGCTTATAATATTTGCTTGAAGCTAGTGTTCAACTTTGACCTTTACAGAATGTTCACTTTGCTGATTAAATAATTTTCTCATGAGACAGTGTGCAGGAAACCCAATTGATGATTTTACATTTGTAGCATAAGAAAAATGTAGACAAAAAGGAAAGTTGAATTTTCACTTATTTATGTATATAGATATTAATTATTTTCGTTCTTTGTGCTGGTATTTGTTTCCTTTGTCCTTATTTCCCTGGGAAATGAAAGTATGGAAGCAGTAGGTTAAGTTTAATATGGTGTCCCATAGCAAACAGCACTGGTGCAACTCAGGACCATAAGTGGGCAAGTGAATATCAAATCAATTTACTTATTCATATTAAATTGAAGTATTATATATATATATATATTTTTTAATGCTATCATGACAGATTTCTCGTAAGTTATTCAAGATATCTTCACAAGATTACTTCCTTGCATTTCAAACCTTAAAGTATAAATAACATGAAATATAGATACCAAAAACATACACAAAATATGTAAAATTTATGTATCAGTGATTCAATCATATAGGAGACAGGTGCGCTGCATTTCTGATGAGAAATAAAATTGATTTTTGCCTCCATTTAAGTTACACATGTGAAAAACAAAGCATTAATTAATAAATGATGAGACTCCCTGGTATTTCTATTTTCAGCTGCCTGGCGACTAAAAGGTAACTTTACACACAGAACAATTAATGTATTATATATTGGCCATCACTTGATACACCTTGAATATAACACTTTCTGATGATTGCCAGGAATTAAACATGTACCAAAAAACAACCACTTCAAACATTAAAATTTGGTCAGTATGTGATGGAAATTTGTTTGTATGGTTAGGTTTTATGGCACATTGAAACTTTACAGGACATACTATGCCAAATACTATACATTGTAATTGTTAACATAAGATAATTTAAACCTAAAAAAGTGTTAGTTCAAGGTTATAAAATGAGTAAGTTATATTGTACATCTTCAGTGATTTTCCTACTTATATAACAGACTCCGATAAAAGGCCTCTTTTCAATTGATATTTTCTTTAAAATCATGCAGTTTTCCCAAAAATCTGAACTTAAACCTCCTTTTTTATTTCCCAAAATTGCAATTTTAGCAATAATTTTTCCCAAATTCAAGAGGCTTTAGGCCTCTTTCCAATTCAGTGAGAAAAATCACTGATCTTAGAATAATGATTTATTTCTTTGAAGTAGCCGATCAATGTTTTGGATGGAACTGAGAAAGTAAAATTACATGGTAAAATCTATCAGGAACCTACACAAGATCATGGCATTCAAGGAGGAAATGTTTGAAAGTGAAACACTCATTGTAAGCCACACAAAAAGAAGCATCATTGCCCATTAAAATATGAGAATAGTCCCATTCAACATCTAAGAAGAATCACCTGATCACAATAGCCAACAAAGAGACTAGTAAAATCTTTGTATGATAGTGAAGAAAATGACTCCCTAAAACCAGCAGTATAAAGTCAGGCTAACCTGCATGTCCATGAAGTCTGACCAAACTATATGCCATTACTGGAAAGTGGTATCTGTTCAATTCAAAAGTCACATGTGATAATGTGATAATATTGATGAAAGAAAAACTTAAGATTAAGATTTCTTGTAAAACTCCTGTATGACACCCAATATAATAAAGTATAAACAAATTAAAGCTTACTTTGAACAGTCGACTATTTCATCTCCACCATCACCAAACCCTTGGAATGATTCAGTTGTCACAGAGAATCCTTTGGGTAGTTCACTCCAGTCATCAAAGTGTGCAACATTTCCACTCGAATATTTTCCAGATGGACATGGCTTACACTTTAATTTGTCCATATCCAGAAATTCTCCTGCACTGCATTCTTGGTCTTAAAAAGAAAATAAATCACTATGTATTCGTTTAAAATAATTTTATTTATATTGCATATCATATGCAAACCAAAAACAAACCTGGTACAGTATATGTCAAACATCTGCATTATGTTGTTCATATTTCTAAATACCAAATAGTGTTTAATACCAACAAAATGCAAAATTGCCTCAATTTACAAGGTTACTTAAGTTAACACTGGGCTACTTAAATTACAGGGTCAACTTAAGTTGTTGGGGCTGGGGAAGCCTCCATTATATATCCCCCAGTATAAAAGTCTCTATAAATATTAAATTATTAAGTCCAATCATCTTAATTCAAATTCTAGTTTATTGTTTCATCAGGCCACCAGCCCATACACATAATTGAGCCGTGTCACGACAAAACCAACATAGTGCGTTTGGGACCAGCATGGATGCTGACCAGCCTGCGCATCCGCGCAGTCTGATCAGGATCCATGCTGTTCGCTATCAGTTTCAATTTTGTAGCAAAATAAAAATACATTACATTGCTATTAAATTATAAAACATTAGTACATACAGACAGTGTGTATTTAATCCTTAAAGCTGCAAGCCTCCAGATGAGCAGTAAGGGCTGTTTTTACATATGTTGACCATGTTTTGGTAATTTTCTTGGATTGTAAGTGCCATTTGCAATATATAAACTGCTTTATTTTATCACCTCACAATATTTTACTTTTAAATACATTTCCAAAATTTTCATGAAAATTAACATGAATATGGAGGCATGCTGCTTTTAGTCATTAACAAAGGACACATAAACAAAATGGTAAAAATCTTCCAAATAACACTCAAAAAAAGGGGCTATTCCTATATTATACAGTGACATAATAATATCTACATTTTCCACCATTAAGATGTGTCCTGAAGTTACGATACCTTGACATACAGTTTTCAAATTTTTGTTTAAAGGTATTAATACTTACTACAACTAGTGCCTTTAACAGGGAGATCATATCCACTTGATGTTGGTGTACAATCCTTCTTTGGTACAGAAACTCTCCACCTTTCACTATTAGCGTCACACTGCGTGAACTGAAACTTATAGTCGTCCTAGAAAATAGAAGAAAACAATATACAAGTCTAAACAATAATTTTCAACCAAAAAAACAGTAAATTCAAAATGTAGGAATTTCCTCCTTCAAAAAATAATTTTAAAATAAAAATGGAAACGGGACTTCACGGAGGTTTTTTGACAAAATGATGACACTTGAAATATTTTTCTGAGATTTTTGTACCATTTGACTTAGGTCTTGACAAATAACATTTCAGCAAACTTTCAGATCATTTCCTCACCATGTTTTTCCAGAACAATGCAGATTGACCAAAAAAAGGAAGTGTTGCAAGTTCTAGGGCTTCCTTCAAGTTCTAAAATTTGGAAATCAGAGACTTCCAAATCTCTCACACTGGAACTCCGAAGTCACATAATTTAAGTATAGAAGGAAAAAGCAAGTACATTTTGGTAGTCACAGGCCAAAGTCAAGGAATAAATGACTCCCAAACGTCAGTTAATGGTAGCCCTGTTCAACTTGCAATGCTTTTCACTCAAATCTGGCTAAGAATCGCATAAAACATTGATTTTCTATTTACTATTATTTAGTTCCGCATATATTTCTTTATTATCATTAGCAGAATTTTCTGTTTTAAGAACTTCACTTGAACTATGCAAGAATGCAGCTAAGAAATGGAAGAAAGCTAACTCAAGAATGACATGAATTCCAGTTTTTCTTTACTGCTGATAGTTTATTTCAAGCAGAAAAATACTAAACTTATTTTTGCAAGTTCTTTTTACAATTTTGGTTAACAATTTCACTTTTTTTCCAGATCAAAAGCTTACAATCATAAACTTAAGTTCCAAAAAGTTCCCTCTTTATTCATTGACAGATAGCTGTTTCACTACAGGATAACCAATTTCAATTATTTCATGCTTTTTATCTGAGAATTTATTTTTAATTGTTCACAAAATGTCCTGTTACAAGTTGAGGATCATTTTCTTTAACTTGCCTGCACACCCCCACCCCGCCCCCCCCCCCCCCCCCTCAAAAAAAAAAACAAACATGAAAAAAAGGTATTAGGTTTAATAATAGATTGATTTTGATATAAAACATCCTACGCTCAGGCTTAGCTTTTAAAAAAAGATGTGTTGTCCAAAGCATCTTCCCCTCTGCCTTTAATTTTCCATGACACTTGATTTTCCAATCTTCAAAAATCTTAATAAATGCCCACTAGATCTATCAATTTCAAATATACTCTGCATAGCCAATCAGTGTTAATTTATCATCATTATGTTAATTTGATACAGGTTCATAGGAAAGACAGGGCATCTCTAACTGTGTTGCTTATCTAAATAAATTCATTATCATTTTTATTATTATTATTAACAAGAGCCATGTCAACATGGCCATCCCCCACCGAATGTGTTTGCTCATTGGAAGAATGTATATGTAGTAGAGCGGAATAATTCCATTTTAAGAGGTCTTTTGGTAATGAAAACTGATGGCTATAGTGATTACAGATTTGAAACCTATGTGAATACTGATGGCTGAAAATAACAAAGGGCAATTACTGAAAAATAATGCAGGGTAGGTTATCATTCTTGTTTGCTCCATCCCTCCTCAGTAAAATCTATCCACCTATGAAGTTTCAAGTTGATACCTCAAATACTTTTTGAGAAAAATTGAATTGAAAAATTAAGTATGAAAAAGAACAAAGGGCAATAACACAACAATTATAAAAGGTAGAGTTATCATTCTTGTGCAGTGCACACCTCCTGAGTGAAATCTATGCACCTATGAAGTTTCATTTTGATATCTCAAAGGCTTTTTGAGTTATGCTCTTGACAAAAGTTGATTTTGAAAAATAACAAAGGGCAATAACTCAAAAATAATGCAGGGTAGAGTTATCATTCTTAAGCACTGCACTCCTCCTCAATGAGATCCATCCACCTTTGAAGTTTCAAGTTGATACCTCAAATACTTTTTCAGATAAGCTCTGGACAAAATAGCATGAAAAACAAGAGCCCGGTTTGAGCCGGGTGATGCTCCCCGAATAGGTTTTGGACACAGGAAAGTACACCTCTTGTAGTTTCAGAGTTATGTCCGTGGAAAAAGTTCAAAGTGCAATAATTCCAAAATTAGGCAAGGCAGAGTTACAGTTCTTTGCACTGCACTTCTAATCAATGTGATCTATCAACCGACAAAGTTTCTTGATGATATCTCTTATGATTTCCGGGTTATGTCCTGGACAATTCAAAAAGTAAAAATAAACAAAGGGCAATAACTCCAGAATTAGGAAAGGTATAGTTATGATTCTTGTGCACTGCACATCTACCCATTGAGATTTATCTACCTACAAAGTTTCATGTTGATATCTCTTATAGTTTTACAGCTATGTCCTGGACAAGATTTTTCTAAAAGGGGAGATTATTCAAAAATAAGGCTTAACAAAGTTATGGTTCTTTTGCACTGCACCTCTACTCAAAGAGATCTATCTACCTACAATGTTTAATGTTGATATCTCTTATAGTTTTAGAGTTATGCACCGGACAACATTTTTCTATAAGGGGAGATAATTCAAAAACCAGGCAAAATAGAGTTATGGTTCTTTGACACTGCACTCCCCCTCAATGCCCTCTACCACTGTATGAAGTTTCAACAAATTATCTCCAAGGGTTTTCAAGTCATGTTCCGGACAAAGTTCAAGTTCAAAGTATTAAAATTAACAAAGGGCAATAACTCCAAAATTAGGATGAAAAGAGTTATTGTTCTTATGCACTGCACATCTACCCATTGAGATCTATTCACCTACAAAGTTTCATGTTGATATCTCTTATAGTTTTAGAGTTATGCCCCGGACAAGATTTTTCTATAAGGGGAGATAATTCAAAAACGGGGCAAAATAGAGTTATGGTTCTTTGACACTGCACTCCCCCTCGATGCCTTCTACCACTGTATGAAGTTTCAACAAATTATCTCCAAGGGTTTTCAAGTTATGTTCAGGACAAAGTTCAAAGTATTAAAATTAACAAAGGGCAATAACTCCAAAATAAGGATGAAAAGAGTTATGGTTCTTATGCACTGCACATCTACCCATTGAGATCTATTCACCTACAAAGTTTCATGTTGATATCTCTTATAGTTTTAGAGTTATGCCCCGGACAAGATTTTTCTATAAGGGGAGATAATTCAAAAACCAGGCAAAATAGAGTTATGGTTCTTTGACACTGCACTCCCCCTCGATGCCCTCTACCACTGCATGAAGTTTCAACAAATTATCTCCAAGGGTTTTCAAGTTATGTTCCGGACAAAGTTCAAAGTATTAAAATTAACAAAGGGCAATAACTCCAAAATTAGGATGAAAAGAGTTATGGTTCTTATGCACTGCAAATCTACCCATTGAGATCTATTCACCTACAAAGTTTCATGTTGATATCTCTTAAAGTTTTAGAGTTATGCCCCGGACAAGATTTTTAATTAAGGGGGGATAATTCAAAAACCGGGCAATATAGAGTTATGGTTCTTTGACACTGCACTCCCCCTTAATGCCCTCTACCACTGCATGAAGTTTCAACAAATTATCTCCAAGGGTTTTCAAGTTATGTTCCGGACAAAGTTCAAAGTATTAAAATTAACAAAGGGCAATAACTCCAAAATTAGGGATGAAAAGAGTTATGGTTCTTATGCACTGCACATCTACCCATTGAGATCTATTCACCTACAAAGTTTCATGTTGATATCTCTTATAGTTTTAGAGTTATGCCCCGGACAAGATTTTTCTATAAGGGGAGATAATTCAAAAACCAGGCAAAATAGAGTTATGGTTCTTTGACACTGCACTCCCCCTCAATGCCCTCTACCACTGCATGAAGTTTCAACAAATTATCTCCAAGGGTTTTCAAGTTATGTTCCGGACAAAGTTCAAAGTATTAAAATTAACAAAGGGCAATAACTCCAAAATTAGGATGAAAAGAGTTATGGCTCTTATGCACTGCACATCTACCCATTGAGATCTATTCACCTACAAAGTTTCATGTTGATATCTCTTATAGTTTTAGAGTTATGCCCCGGACAAGATTTTTCTATAAGGGGAGATAATTCAAAAACCGGGCAAAATAGAGTTATGGTTCTTTGACACTGCACTCCCCCTCAATGCCCTCTACCACTGTATGAAGTTTCAACAAATTATCTCCAAGGGTTTTCAAGTTATGCTCCGGACAAGACAACGGACGGACAGACGGACGGACAGACAGGGCGCCGACTATATGCTCCCCTAAAATTTTTCGGGAGCATAAAAACAAAGGGCAATAACTCAAAAATTGTTTAGGGAAGAGTTATCATTCTTGCGCACAACATTCCTCCTCAATAAGATCTATCCACCTATGACATTTCATGTTGATATCTCAAACACTTTTTGAGTTATGCTCCACTCAGGTGAAAAATTAGGTATGAAAAATAACAAAGGGCAATAACTCAAAAATTATGAAAGGTAGAGTTATCATTCTTGTGCACTGCACACCTCCTGAGTGAGATTTATGCACCTATGAAGTTTCATGTTAATATCTCATAGGCTTTTGGAGTTATGCTCTGGACAAAAATCAATTTTAAAAAATAACAAAGGGCAATAACTCAAAAATCATGCAAGATAGAGCTATCATTCTTGTGCACTGCACTCCTCCTCAATGAGGTCTATCCACCTATGAAGTTTCAAGTTGATAACTCAAATACTTTAAGAGATATGCTCCGGACAAAAATGTCGGACGGAAGGACGGACAGAAGGACGGACGGAAGGTCGGACGGAGACCAGAGCAACAGATAAGGTGCGTATTTGCGTATTTACGCAATTAATTTTAGAAAATACGCAATTGATTTTTTAAGAATGCGTATCAAAACCCATTAAAAAAAATAAAATACGCAATTGTCTTAAAAACTTGTGCGTATTGTCATTTTCATCAACGCAAAATTAATCTGTCGTACGCTTGTTGTTTTGGACAAATTATATCGATATGCATGCTATTCGAATATTCCCGAATCAATGCTAACTTATCAACGGTCTCC